CAGCTTCCTCCTTCTGAACAACCTGATAAAAGAAAGAGACAAGACATTTATTACAAAGTTATTTTGATGAAATCCGTGTCTGGTGTGCCTATATGTGCACAAAAGATTCTAAACTAAAAACAAGACAAATTGGAGGTCTAGTGATAAGAAAAAGTAATGACTTGCAAAAGTCCAGGAGATACTAAATGTTGACCCTTCAAAATATTTTTCTCATAGCAACTTGACTAGACTTTATCATAACTAAAACATTGGTACAAGTATTATATTACATCTATCTTCAAAAAGTAACATGCTGTGAGAAAAATATGGTATATAATAATAAGGTATATAAAGTAGTAATTGTATCACTTCAACCAAAGATACAACTGCCTTGTGTACTCATATTTTCATTAATTTCAGAAAAATAGCCACAGACTGACACTTTACACAATGCAAAATTTGGATAAGATTGCCATTTTAATGACCAGTCTTACACACTGCTCCATCTGTACTGCTGCTGCACTGAATGACACATATTTCAGAATGAAATTAAGATACAATATACAGTGTTTTATCGTATCGGTATCGTCTTTGTGTGGGAAACACTGGAGACTAAATATTCTCAAACAGGTTGTTGATATAAAGTTGTCATTTTTATTGTGCTGCACTTTTTTTTTGATTTGGGTAAATGTCAGTGTTGTGTGGAGTTTAATTGCCAATTCTAGCTCTAGCCCTTAGTAAGCCTATAGTGTGGCTGCCAACAGTCAATAATAAATAACCTCCTGCATAAAATGTGTGTAGAAATAGGCCTACAGTGTATTTTAACGTCTACCATAATGGTGGTACTTGGAGAGCCAAATATTTTCGGAGGTGGTACGCAGTCTAAAAAGTTTGAGAACCACTGATCTAAGTAACTTTAGCACTCAGTTACTTTCAGACAAACGCCTCTTGGGGGTCAAACAGTTAATGCTCTTTGATATCGAGGCCAAAACACCGAGGTTTAATATCAAATTACATGAACACCTCTTTTTTTCTGACCACACGCCGACTGAGATCATGATCATCTCGATGAATTATCTCGTGTTCTGAGAGAAGGCGGTAAACGTTCCCGCTGAGAGCGAAACTAAATCTCGATCTCAAAGACAAAGTGAACACGAGAACTTAAAGGGCAACCTGCAGGTCAGATTATTTACTGTATTTATTAAACCAAGGGGGGACATGAGGCCGGGGCGGTCCAGTCCTGAGTACCTCTTACAGATTCAGTGGCGGTACGCAGGACTGGAAAGAGGAGGGAGCCGCTTCCTGCCGAAACCAACTTTCAAGGTCGCACTTTCATCAAGAGAACACATCTGCTAACATGATGTCATCTCAAACACTTTAGACGTTTGCTCCCTGAAAATATCTAGAACATTTCAGGAGGACTGACCTGACCTGGTTGTTCACACATGCTCCTCACAGCGAGAGGTGATGAACGCAAACATTCAAAAGTGATTCCAGAAGTCTCTGCGGAGAACTAATTCATGTATTTTCTTGAACTTTATGTTCACTGGAGGCTTCGACCTGCAAGTTGCCCGTAAGCACCATCTTCCAAAACATGCTGCACGCTCATTTCAGTGCTTTTCAGTGCTTTTGTTCAAACAAGTTGTTTGTCCCACGTCGATTCCAGTCTTTTTTTTTTTTTTTACATTAATTACCAATGTTTGGCCATTCAGGCTTAAGACAGGCAAACAATGGACTTGGGCCTGCATCTCTGTGAGAAGCCTCATTTAAGTTATTCAATGGGATCACAAAGAGACCTAAAGGACTCTTAATCCCAGAATCCCCTGCAATACATCACACCTACGTGTGAAGAAAAGGAGGGACAAGGAAATAAGGAAGGCAAAACTTAAGTATAAAAATCTAATTGAGGATCAGTTCAGTGGTGGTGACCTCAGAGCAGCCTGGAAAGGAATAAAATCCATGGCATCAATTAACCAGTCCACCTGTGGGACTAAGCCTCCTATCTGTTTAGATGGTGTGGATGATGCTGATGTGTTTTTAATTCATTTTTTTCTCGCTGGGAAAGGTCTGATTTCTTGGATGATATTTCAATAGTAAGAGAATCTCTTGTTCTTCAGAATGACTTTGTGATCTCTCAGGGAACTGTCACAACTCTACTGAAGGGAGTTAATACAAAAAAAGCTGCTGGCCCTGACGCCATCCGTGGGCGCACATTGCTTCACTGTGCTGACCAACTCAGCGACGTATTCACAAAACTTTTTCAGATGTGCGCTGAGTGTGGCCGGATACCCCCATCTGGAAAACATCCACAATTATCCCTGTGCCTAAGGCAGCTAAACCTAAGGATTTGAATGATTTTAGACCAGTCGCTCTTACTTCACTTGTTATGAAAACATTTGATAAAATCCTAAAAGCAGAAGTTGTCTCATTAATAAATGGTCAACTTGATCCACTTTAGTTTGCTTATCAAGCTGGCAAAGGTGTGGACTACGCCAAGGTTTTCATTTTAGCCACTGTGTACAAACACCTGAAAAAACCTAAATCCCATGCCAGACTTTTATTCGCTGACTTTTCCTCAGCTTTTAATAAAATGCAGCCTCATATTTTAATTGAGAGACTATCCTCTCACTTTAAACTTCCTGGTCAGATTTTAATGTTGCTCTTAAACTTTTTAACAGACAGAGTTCAGCAGGTTTTCGTGAATGGTCAAATGTCAAAAATAATTATGTCAAACACTGGTTCCCCTCAGGGCTGTGTCCTGTCCCCCTGCTTTTTATCATGTACACAGGTAGCTGCAGAACATCACAAGAGAGCAGTTATCTGGTAAAGTTCTCAGATGACACTGTTCTGCTGTCCCTCCTTCAGGGCTCAGAATCAGGCCATGGCAGTGCTCTACCAACTTTTGTTAAGTGGTGCGATGACAACTTCCTGGATCTTAATGTCCTGAAAACCAAGGAATTGGTCATAGATTTTTAAGAACTGTTGTCACCCTGAATCTAGCATTATCCATGGTGGAGAGGTTGAAATAGTGGACTCATATAAATACCTTGGGACAGTGTTCGACTCTGAATTTAAGTTCTCTGAAAACACAGAGTCAATCGTGAAAAGAGGCCAACAGAGAATTCATTTGATGCAGAGGCTGAACTCTTTTAGTGTTTCACGAAGCATTTTATGTAGCTTTTATCATTCTTTTATAGAAAGTCTTTTAACATTTTCTTTTATCTGTTGGTTCAATGGGTTGTCTGTGAAGGACAAGAACAGTTTGAACCACATCGTAAAAGTCTGCTCTAAGATTTTTGGAGTCCAGCTGAAAGACTTGAGCTCCCTGTGGAAGGAGCGTGTGGTCCAGAAAGCCAAAGGGATCATAAACCAACCTGAACATGTTGTCTCATCCGAGTTTTCTTTAATGCCCTCTGGACGGCGCTATTTTGCCCCTCCAAGGAGGACAAATAGATACTCCAACTCTTTAATCCCTTCAGCTATCAGGCTGTTGAATGCTGAACAAGTCTGTCATTGTATTAGGAAATTGTAGATTGATAGCGCTGGCTTTCTCACTTGACGACCTATTCGTCTGTTGAATTGTTGTTACTGACATGTGAATGTAACTGCTTGAATGCTGTGGTGATGTGTTTGTTTCCTTTTATGTTGTCTTTGCGTTTTTCAATGGCTTGGTAGGTTGTGAAACGGAATTGCCCTTCTGGGATAAATAAAGTTTTCTGAATCTGAATCTTATTCCGTCCTGCAACAAAAGGACATCAACGGGCATCTTTCCACTCGACGGAGAACATATCGAAGCCGCTCTTGCCGTAAGGGACCCTCGCCGCCATCAAACGCCTCTGCACCAGGACGGACGGGAGATCTGTTCCAATGCCGGACTCTTTTCCTTCACCAATCACGGGCAAAGCGATTCACAAGTGAGGCTTAATTAGGTCTGGGCAGAATTAGCTTTAGAGAGTGTTTTTAACAATTGTTTGATTGATGTGAGAACTGTAATTTTTCTCTTTGTTGGACCGCCGCGTCCTGAGTTTTACCTGTTTAAAACTCTTGTTGTTCCTGTTTCGGACCGCTGCGTCCTGTATGTGTTTATCGTAACAGCTTTATAACCGGGTATTACTCTTCTGATCAGAAAGGCCAGTGTAAGCCGTATTAACTTGAATTCGGCCATTGGTTTGTTTCTGTGAATGAAGGGAATTACTCCGAGTTGTGGCGCGGGATTCGAACTGTGATCCGGCCTCTTCAGGCACGCATCTAACACACGCACGCACGCACGCACGCACGCACGCACGCACGCACGCACGCGCACGCACACACACACACACACACACACACATATTCCTGTGTAGACGCACATCTGGAGACTAACTCCACCACCACGCCAGTACACACGTAGGCTGCAGACTCACACATAGATTTCTGTACACTCGCAGTCATCCAGACGTCTCAGAGACACAGATCGTGCAGGGCCGAACTCGGCCTCTTTAGACAATAGACCACGCCAGGTCTTTGTTAGGTGTGCGCCATCGGAAGAGCGACCACGTAGAACGACGCAATCTCCCCCCTCTCTCGCCCCCCCTCTCTCTCTCTCATCCACACACACACACACACACAACTCCATTCTTACTCCTCTTCCACAAGCCTTCCTTGATAATGTTTGTTTGCTTAGATTAGTTTGTAAGTTATTTGTTTGATTAAATTTTGGATTGATGTTGCTTTGTTTAAATAAATTCTGTTATAATTTAAGAGAGCAGTTGTTTGTGATTACTGGTGTATTTGCATTGTGATATAAGCTGGGTGCGAGGGCTTTGTGTACGGATTTCACGCCTTCAATTTATTAAATATAGTTATTAATTATTAATAATATTAGTAATTAAGTAACTAATTTGAGACTGATTTGAGTGATATTTTGGTTATATTTCCCTGATTCCAGGGTGGTGCCCCAAGAGTTGATTAAACATAGTTTAATGATATTGTTATTTATGTTATTAATAATTAAATCTAATTATTAAAAAATATAACCACAGTTGACTTGATAAAACCCCAACACCAACATAGCATTTTATTCAAAATACACCATTAATTTATCTTCATTCAAAATATAACATTCATTTAATATTAAATGTGATTGTCAAAATAGAAACAAAACCTAGAAAAATTCAAACCTTAAATTCAAAACCTTTAACCCTAATTTACATGGTATGAGTTCAATATTATTATCAATAACAACCTGAGAGGCCTGGCTAATAGGTTTAACAGCATGTCGAAAAATGGCTTTAATTATAGTTATCAGACATACTACTAAAAATAGAATCGCCATTAAGGTAACCACAAGAGTGGTTAGAAATACCAGCACCCCAGGAACCCAACATTCCTTTAAAATCCCCAAATTGAACCCATGGTTTTCATGCAGTTCTCTTATCCCTTGTGCAGTGTCGTGTACCATATTCATAACATCAGTAGTAGCATCAGAAATATAGGAACAACATTCAGTACCAATAACTTTGCAGGTTCCCCTTTTTGCAGCTAGGAGGAGATCAAGAGCCATTCTGTTCTGCATTACCACGTTTTTAACCTCCTGAAGCTCTTTGTGTTCAGCTAACATAGCTCTACTAGAGGCGTTAAGATGATTCTCCAATACTTTAGATAATGCTTTAATTTCCTGCTGAGACACATAAACACCATATGATGGCAAAAGGATGCTTGCTGCTTCCTGAAACCCAAATATTTATCTTTTCTGTCTATCCATTGGTGGATGCAGGGCAGCAATTTCTTTAGATTCTACTTCTCTAATCATAGGAACTAAGTAGGCCAAATAACAGGTCCCTTTTAAATTTTGTATGGCATGCAGCTATAAGCTCTATTACCACAGATCAAATACACCCTCTCAGGGAGAGGCTGCTGTTTTATACTAACATTTATAACCAACTTACAAGAACTCCGACCCAAACCTGGTTCGTTGCTGTCTTCTATACCTTGGAAACATAGGGGAACATCTTGCAATTCATGCGTAAAAACTAGAAGAATGTACTAAGAGCAATCACATGGCGGTGAAGAGGAGAGTTGTTTCTTTTTTTTTTAGGGATTTCTTGAAGGTGGAGAGTGAGGGAGGGGGTCTCTGGTTTTTGGGAGTTAATTCCAGAGGGTGGGAGCAGCAATGGAGAAGGCCATGTCCCCCAGGAACGATGGGTAGTCCTGCGGGGGAATTCTAAATCGGTGAGTTTGGAGACAGGATTCTAAAGTCGAGATAAAGTCTGTGTCATGGGGGGTTGGTGGTAGAAAGTTCCAGAGACGGCGGGTCCATGATGGAGGTAAGCGGGCAGGAGGAACAGAGAGCGGCGTGGAGGAGGAAGACCGGAGAGTAGGGTCAGTGTGTCGGTATGAAGGAGATCAGAGAGGTACAGAGGTGACGGAGGTTATGGAGAGCCTTGAATGGGGTGATACTGATCAGCAGTGAACAGAAGGAGACTCTCCCTCTACAGACGACACAGAGACACAGGAACCTTCATATCCGAGCCAGAACCCAAACCCAAACCAAGTATAGAGAGGTTCAGTGAAGGTGGTGTTGAAGGTGTGGAGGTGGATCAGTGTGTCGGAGGAGACGCTGTAGAAGGACAGAGAGCCAGCAGTGTGGTCCAAATACACCGCTGCTCTGTGCGTGGTTGAGGGGGGTGAGGAGAAATAGAGCTGGGAGGAGGAGCGGGTAATAGGCGTCTCTACGTTATTGTGAAGGACAGAGTATTCAACTTCATCTTCATTATCACGGCAGCTCAGACTCCAGGACTGATCGTTTCTTCCAGACTCATTGTTTTCTTTCCTGCTGATTCCTCTGTAACTCACTGATATAAACACTCCTCCTGTCCACTCAATCTCCCAGTAACAGCGCCCAGTCAGACCTTCTCTACACAGCAGCGCAGTGGGGTCAAATCTGTCTGGATGATCAGGATATAACACAGAGCCCTCCACAAGTGTCCCCTTCCTGTTGTTGTCAGACAGTTGGATTCTGTGGTTTACCGTGTTGGTGTCGATTGTGAGTTCACAGGAATCTGAAGAAGAGAACGAGACACGATAAAGATGGCGTTATGAAATGATCATCGATGATTACTGACGGACTCAATCAATGGATTTTCATTAACGTAGCCACAAACCATAACAGAAGCAATTTCAAGACACATTTCAAAAGAGCGACAGTCGGTGTTAGAAAGCAGGATTAGTGTAGACCCAGAGTCTGTTCCCCTGACGTGAAGGAAGCTCTGCGTTTCCTACTCCAGAAAGGGAGGTCACTCAAACCCGAGATAGAGGCGTAAAGGCCGGCGTATACTGTATGACTGAATCGTTACGACGCACGACCACAGCTCACGCTTTCTGTGCTCACAAATCAGGGCGGAGCGTTCACAACTTTTAATAGAAAACCTGCCACAGAGGTGGATTTCAGTTGTCTCGTATTATTTGAGGTGAGTTCTGATTGATAACTCCTCCGTGTGAATGTGAGTGGATCGGGGTTGGAGGTGTGTCTCATTTTTGAAACGGGCCCCGGTTTTAGACCGTACAAACATCAATCCACCAAGAGCGAGCGCTCTGCAGCGTTGTAAGGAAACACGTTCTTCTCAACCGGCAGAAACGTCGAGCCGAACTGAGCTCATTGGTGAACAAGCAGCTGACGTGACCGGATGAACCGAGAAAGTGGGATAGACGAGAGATGGGTTGAGACAGAGCAACAACAACACAGCAGATAATACCAAGCTATGGCTCCAGTGTCAATGATTATAGTGTAAGTGTGATGTAATCAGGAAGTTTATTAACAATCATTTAATATTCAAACAGCTGTAGTGACTCATTTGAAATACGCTGTGAATATGTGACAAATATTAAAAAAAAACACTCACACTTCATCAAACCTGGTGTCAACCACTGGACTCCAGCAGGCTCCAACCTGAAAAAGAGGGGGGGGGGGCAGATTAACACATCCTCTGTGACCACAGAACATGGACATTACCTCACTCATATAAAATATATTCAACTAGCCCGTGTTTGTGCTCATGCATGAACTGTACCTTTCTAATAATCATAATAATGTTTGTTTATATTTTTACTCATAACTTCTAAAACTAAACGCTCATAGTTCAGTGTTTTACGCTCGTGTGTGACCCAGACAGACAAAGATCTCATCATACCTGAGAGTGTCCAGCTTTGATTGTGAATCCTGTAGACCGGTCAACAGCGTTAATCCTGTGATTCCAGGATGATTGTAGCTCAGGTCCAGCTCCTTCAGATGGGAGGGGTTTGAGGTCAGAGCTGAGGCCAGAGATCTGCAGCCTTTCTCTGTGATCAGACAGCCTGACAGTCTGCAGACACAAAAACATCACATGTGCGAGGTCATCCATAGAAAAGATTATCCTGACTCTATAACTACTGCAAGTGCCATCAATGAAATGGGACCATGAATGTTGACCTGAGAGTTTCCAGTCTGCAGTGTGGACTCTGTAGTGTTGTAGACAACAGCTGCACTCCTGAATCCTGCAGGTTGTTGTTGCTCAGGTCCAGCTCTCTCAGACTGCAGGACTGTGTGCGGAGGATTGAGGACAGAGCTCCACAGCTCTTCTTTGACAGACCACAGTGACTCAGCCTGAAGGGAGACATCCACAGGTAGATTCTAATTAATACAATGTGAAATCATAAAAAGATGTCAGATTGAGCATTTTCAAACAGCTAGAACCCGACCTAAGAGTTTCCAGTCTGCCATGTGAGCTTTCCAGTCCATCAGAAAGCAGCTGCACTCCTGAATCCTGCAGGTTGTTGTTGTTCAGGTCCAGCTCTCTCAGACTGCAGGACTTGGAGCTGAGGACTGAGGACAGAGCTTCACAGCTTCTCTCTGTCAGGTTACAGCTACTCAGCCTGGGGGAGAAAACAGTATGAAAACAAGTTATAAATATATATGTTATAAATCTCAAGCCTGCAGCTTCCCTGAGCGAGAAGTAGGTGGAGTCACTCAGTGTCATGACCAAATATAAGAAACAGGTGATCCTTACATGTGGGCATGTCACCCGCTGTCACTCTGCAACCATGTTTCCACTGCTCTGCAAATTCAGTTTGTTCATGGCTGTAAGTTCTGATTTAGCCTGATCCTGTGAAGCTTAGATTCCCTGTTGCCTTCCTGGATGCTTAGGTAATGTACTCTGCTTTATTTATCTTTCTTTAAGTCTACATGAAATCCATACATCCACTTTTTGCTTGTACTCAAGAAATGAATCCACGGCTCTTGGATCCGTGTGTTTGAATGTTCACACCAGCTAGAGGTTCAATGGTCGAGCATTTTAAAGTCAGTCACTTATACTAATTAGAGCCCGATATTAGGAAGGGAAAAAATCAGATACGGATATATCAGCTGATATCTTTCTCAGATCTGTTCGATCTGTAGATATAGATACACACATTTAATGTGTTGATCCCTCAGTTATCAAACACTTTAAAAAGATTTATAATGAAGACAAGAAGGTCACTCAGGTGGAAAGTAACTGAGCATCACCGCTCGACACTGGATGATGATGCTTTTGAAATCCATATAGTGCCCTCTGCTGGTGACAGAGAACTGCTAGTGTAATACAATGAAACTCAAATGAAATGCTATTTGAATGGTGAAGAATCGAGTAATATCGGTGCATATCGGAGATAAAATTAGCCGATACTGATAGTCACTGGACATGCTAATATTGGCCGATATTATCGACTGACCGATAAATCGGGCAGGCTGTGTGATGTCATAAGGTCAGTGTGTGATGTCATAAGGTGGATATTACTT